AGAATGGACGCACTTCCTTCTTCACAATCTTTGTTCTGTCCTGCACATGAGAGTTCCCTCCTCAAGGACTAAGAGGTATTTCAAATCAGAGACTCAAAGAATGAACTCTTTTACAATTTTATTCTAGATATTATTTCCTGTGTTTCATAAAATCTAGTAGTTCAGACTATAGCCAAGTATGCACAGCTTTTCATTCACTCACATCTTATTACATTTGATTTTAAATATGTTCTTCTTAAAAGAAAACTACATCTAAAAGTTCCGCACAATTCTGACTTATTTACCAGGTCAGCCTACTTCTCCTCTCAAACATACAAACATAAATTGCCTAGTCACTTTTTTTTTTCCAGAGTACGGGGAAAAAAAGTTGGTTTTCTCCTTACCAGGAGACAGGAAGCATTTCCTGGAGATTAATCACTGTTTTGATTTCCAAAATTGAGAAGGCTGAGAGAAATTAGTAAAGTCGGTTGTATCATCTTACTTTGGATTTGGAATTTTTGGAAATGGTCCTGCCTCCAGTTCAGATGAAAGTAATCATGAGTCAAGCAGCGGGTGATCTGAACATTGTCACCCTATAAAAGTTGGGCTCTAGAGGGTGGACTTAGGTTGGCAGAGAGCAAGGCATTAAGACAACGCAGAGCTGAATGAATTCAGTGGCAATGAGGAATCTTCCTATTGCACTGCTGCTGTGTGTGGCAGTGTGCTCAGCCCACCCCTTGGACAGAGGAGCATAGGACAAGGATGACAGCCTGGACCTTGTTCAGGTAATGACCCCAAACAGCCCTCACATTCACAGGCAGGGTCGGCGGGGAAAGCCAACTCTGCTTTCCATTTGTAAGACTCACTTAGAGTGGTTTAAGTGTACCGTGTAGGAATAGTTCAAGGCAGGGCTATAAAGTACTGACTGGATGTTTTCCTAAGATCACAAACGCCCTAGCAGCAGCCACACTGGCACTTGAGGTACTTGAATAGCAAGTGGAGAAAATGAGATGTATCTTGATTTTGAACCTCTTTAATGTACTGTTAGCCTACTTAGACATTTATATTGGTAATGTCAAGTTTAGACACAAGGATTTGTCCAGTTCTTTTCTTAAGCCAGGTTCTGTGGGAGGCATAAAGTGGAAAACTGAGGGAATTGAAAGATGTTCCTGAAATACACCATTATGCCCAAAGAAATGTTTTGTTTTTCTCCTTTCATGTCACTAGGTATTCTCAATTTTCCACTTCTTTTCAGGCTTTGGTAGTAAACTAAGCTGCAGACATACAAAGATAAAACAAAAGTGAAGGCAAGTCCATGACTGAAGAGTTAAACAGAATGTGACACATTTTAACAGCAAGTTAGAGAAATACCTCAGAAATATAGAAAACTATTTCAACTATTTCAATATAGAAAACTATTACAACCTTCCAGAAGATGTGAAACAGTTTTTTAGAAGAAAGGACAGTAGTCCTGTTGTTTAAAAAAAATCCAAGAATTGCAGACATTCCTTGGGCTGGAGGTGACAGGGAAGCTGGACACCAACACTTTGGAAATGATGCACAAGCCCAGGTGTGGGGTTCCAGATGTCGGTTACTTCAGCATCTTTCCCGGCATGCCGAAGTGGAGGAAATCTCAACTCACTTACAGGTAATGGGGCCAAAGAGGCTTTCACATAGTACCAACATTTCATAAATTACTGTAAGAGGAGAGAAAACAGTTTATTCTTCAGTTTTTCTCTTAAAGGATTGTAGGTTATACTCTGGATCTGCCAAAAGATGCTGTTGATTCTGCTACTGAGAAAGCTCTGAAATTCAGTCTGGGAGGAGGTGACTCCACTTACATTCTCCCAGATTTATGAAGGAGAGGCTGACATTATGATCACCTTAGCGGTTAAAGGTAAAAAATACTACAACAATAACACAAAGCATGAAACACGTCCATCTATCTGGTGGTGTTTTATTAGAAAAGGTTCCAAAGAGATCTTATTACCTACCTCTTTCGAGTGAAACATTTTCTCTCTTAGAACATGGAGACTTTATCCCTTTTGATGGACCTGGGAAAGTTTTGGCTCATGCCTATGCACCTGAGCCAGGGATTTATGGAGATGCTCATTTTGATGATGATGAACAATGGACAGAGGACCCATCAGGTGAGTCACACATCTCTCAGAAGGATTTTGGTGTTTGTTGTTTTTCTATTTGGGAAAGTCTTAACAAAGATTAGTCAAGAAATGGGGTGTTCTGGATTTCCCCATGGGTCAAGGATCAGCAGCATATATGTTTTAGTCGTTATTGAAAATGTTTTCAGTTGTCTAAAGCCTATTCTCTGTCTGATAAACTCGACGTAGGAAGCATCATTAAGTATTTCTCTGGTGAGTTTAGTTCTAGGGTAATCTTAGGACCATAATTAGGAATGATCTCATTATATCAAATTGCAGATATCCATGGGATAGAGTCTTGCCTTAAGTCTACATGCTCTGCCCTGGGAAATTTCTCCCAATTACTTCGTTAGTCTTCAAAACAGAATGAGAAATAAATTTCAGCTATTTATGTTCCTCCTTTGGTTTTTCTGGTAAAATCAACATTTTACTAAGTTAAGAATTTTTATCGACTTGATCTGAAGGAAAGGACTAAACCCCAGACACAATGTCCAGACATTTTTAGGTAGAAGAATATTTCTCAGTTCATAACTGTGTATTTTGAGGAATGGCTTCCAAAGTTTTCAAATAACTGGCTGAAACAAATAATGCTACTTCTGGAATTGAATCGGGATTTATAACCAAATGCAAACAGAATCTCTGTAGAGAATACACACATGAGGCTTTTAGGTTTTAGGGTTGGATAAAAAATCTTTGGATTGATTGAATTAACATCTTCCATCAAAAATCTCAAATGAGAACTTTACTAGGATCACAAGCTACACCGATATCACTTATAAATTAAAACTGACTTACTTGGTATGTCAAATATAATTACCGAATGACTTCCAATTTCAGCATTTTGTTTTTTTTCCTTTTAATAATCGAAGGAAAAAAATCTGAATACAGCTAGTATTTGTGCAGCAAAAATCTCCTTAGTGAAATGTTTTAATCCAATCTTGCAAATCCTGATATTATTAATACTTCAGACCCAATATGTACTTAATAATAATCATGAGGCTAAAAGGATATGCAGGGAATAGTCCAATGTAAAATAACAGGAGTATGATTAAGGATTTTGGAATTGAAATGAATAAACTGTGATTCATTTAACTGACACTGTAACTGGCAAATGTTGATACACTGAAATGTGTTTAGCTTTTCACTGACCAACGAAGAGAAATGTTTGCTAATGCGCTAAACAAGTGGGTTCATTCTACTTGAGTACAAGAAAAGGGACCTCGTTTTCATGAAGTTAATAGGCTCCTGAGGCTGGAGAAGGGAGGGAGTGGATATGGCTAGACACTGTCTCAAAGATGGATTTCAAGAACAAGTCTTGAAAAATGCTAGTTTTCCATTAAGTGATGGAATAAGTAAATTGATCAATTAACCAAAAAACAAGGCACAAAAGCCCTATTTGCTCTCGTGAAGTAAACAAATATAATACACAGTTGACCTGTGCAATGTACATATATTTACGGAATAAGTAACTAGCATTTATGGTTCCTTTAAACAGGGACCAATTTATTCCTCATTGCTGCCCATGAACTTGGCCATTCCTTGGGTCTCTTTCACTCCTCTGACCCTGAAGCTTTAGTACCCAGTCCACAACAAATTCAGACTTGACACAGTTCCGCCTTTCTCAAGATGATGTGAATGGCATTCAGTTCCTGTATGGTGAGTGTTGCTGGAAAAATGAGGCATTGTAGCCTTGCAGGGCTGGTCTTAAGAAAATATTTTAAATGCTGCATAAAACATTTGCAGTTCAACTCAAAGCAGTTTGAGAATGTTTGGAAAGCATATAAATTGACAGAAGCATCACATTTCTCCTAATGTTTGCATCTGCACATCTGCCCCCTTTAGGATCTCCCCGATTCCCATGATAACCCGGAAGTACCCACAGAATCTGGGACTCCAGGATCTGCGACATCGGCCATGTGTGATCCTGCTCTGTCCTTCGATGCAATCAGCACTCTGAGGGGGGAAATCCTGTTTTTTAAAGACAGATCAGACCAGATTATATTGTCCTATCTTTTCTTTTGATATGCAAGGCTTAGAAAGGAAAATGAACAGAATGGTGACAGAGATTTTTTAACATTTAAAGCAAACATGCTTTCTCTGAACTTGAAATCACTCAAATCTGGCCCTCCATTTTTCACATCTTCCTAAAATCGCCAAGTTCATTTTCAAAGACTTAAGATGATTTGATTCTTGTCTTCTAATTGTTGTTCCTAAATGTCAGAAGCCATGGTTGCTTTTCAAAAGGCACAAGTAGAACTTTAGAATCAATTTTATCTTTACCTCCTCTAAAAAATGCCACCAGGATAGTTTTACATTTAATCAATTTATTCACTGCTAGATAAATATATACATATATATATACAGTGAATAAATTGAATGTGATAAAACATTCAATAGGAAGAAAGTTAAAAGCAAGTCTCCTTCACATGACTGACACTTGATTTCTCAGTTCTCCCCATATTCATCCCCAGTCAAGGATTCCTGTGCTTCCAGGATTGTCGTGTGCATATATAACAACATACTTACATAGTATATATACATGTGGACACATCTGCCTACCTTTTGAAAATATATGTGATGGCATAACATATACACAGTTTTGCATGAATTGTAGGGTTTTTTGCACTGCATTGTAAGATAACTTTCCTGTCATAGAAGATGTTACTCTGGAATCTTATGGCAGGAAGTCCAGTGCAGGAAGTCTGAAGATAAAGGAAAGATACTTTCCCAGTGGTGATATACTTGATTTCTGTCTGTCATGGAGCCTAGAGGATGAGGGAATGGGGGAATGAGTGAGGCAGGACAATGAGAAAATATGCTGGAAAAAAGGTGAAAGCATTTCACTAAAGGTGAAAAACTGCTTTCAATTTCACTTATTTTCATACGTATTTCAGACATTTTTGGCACAAAACCCTCAGGACATCTGAAACTGGATTTTATTTGATCTCTTCATTTTGGCCAACTCTTCCTTCAGGAGTGGATGCTGCATATGAAGTTATTAGTAAGGATTCTGTTTTCAATTTTAAAGGTAATTATTATATAATTTCCTTAATTTGTCGACATAAACTCTTCACCTGGAAAACTGAATAGGACTTTAATTTTCTCTACCATGGCACATTTTGTCTACAGTATTACTCTGAAATGAAGAAATAACCAGAACTGGTATTATTTTATTTATATTTTACAGATGATAAAAATGAACACAGGAATATAAATTGCTCAGAGTTGTAAATTCCCTTATTTGGTTTGTGTTCATTCATTCAATCTGCAAATTTTTGTTAAATGTTTGCCTTGAGATAGTGATTAAATGTAAAATCTTGACTTCCCTTGTACTATGAAAATCAAAGGTGCTAAAAAGTATTTCTAAAACCAAAAGACTTAACTGTTATAAATTTAATGTGACTCTGAATTATTTATTTTAACAGGAAACCAGTTCTGGGCCATCAGAGGAAATGAAGTACAAGCAGGGTACCCAAGAAATATCCAAACCCTGGGTTTTCCTCCAACAGTAAGGAAAATAGATGCAGCCACTTCTGATAAGGAAAAGAAGAAAACATACTTCTTTGTCGAGGACAAATACTGGAAGTAAGATGCGTTTGGGATGACTTTGAGCCTCATTAGAGAAATTAATTTCTTGCTTTAAGGAAATCCCCTACCTCACTCTTAGCCCTGCTTGCTTCTCAGTAGGAAGAACTGGGCTTTAGACAACTGTGGGGAAGGGTTTACTCTCAAATGCAGCAGTGCCCGAAATCAGGTGCTCCTTAAGCGTTCCTGCTTTGGGTGCCACGTGTAACAGGCTGGAGCTTCCCTTGCTGTTGTCCCCCCTGCCCGGACTGCCATCTTCTCTCCCCAACCTGCCCAAACCCCACCCAACCTTCAAGTCCTGATTCGAGGCTCACCACCTCCAGAAAGCTCTCCGTGCTGGACTCCAAACCCAACTGCATTTTTTTGAAAGAAGCCCTAAGAATCCAGGCCACAATGTAGCATTCTTTCCTCTTTCCTGCTATCTCCTAGGTCTTCTCATTATCCCATTGGGTACCTGTCCTCTCTTCCCAACCTTATGATTTTCAAGGGCTTCCCCACTCATTACCTCAGCTTATTTAAGATGATGAGCAACAGCAGGATGGTTTTATGGTTAGAACCCAGAACTCACTGAGAAGCTGATTCTTGGGCCATCTGCCTGGATTCTGAGTCATCTGGGCAGACTGACCGAGGTCCAGCAGTAAGTCCCAAATGCATATCCTGTGCTTTGTTTCCCATCCCAACCCCATTTCCTGGGTGGCCGCCATAGGAGATCCAGGTGTGCAGGGTTGGGAAAGCATGTGTGAGCCAAGTATGGTAGAGAACTTGAAATCTGTATTTGAGATGAATGATTGAATTTATTACAAGCATTTGTTCATACCTTCATATCTCTGTGATAGAAAGATGATTAAGGCTTTTTCTGTCCAGCCTTAAGAAATATAACAAACAACATCTGCTAGATCAGGATGTTGCCTCTGTTCCTGGTGAAGATACAGTGGTGAGAGCTAAGTTTACAGTACTATTAAAGTCGCATATTTCTGTGGTGCTCAACATGTTTGACATGTATCTGCAGCACTTGGAAAGTTTACTAGAACTCCACATTAAGCCCAACATGATTTATGCATTTTGGTAACATGGCCTCTGTACAATGCTGAGTTTTGTTTCTTTAACTTGGTGCAGATTTGATGAAAAGAGACGGTCCATGGAGCCAGGCTTTCCCAAGGAAACAGCAGATGACTTCCCAGGGATTGACACAAAGGTTGATGCTGTTTTTGAAACATTTGGTAAGAAGATACTTACCCTGTCGGCAGTGGGGCACATCGAAGCATTCTATGGTATCACAGGGAAGAGAATTGAAATAATTTTTAATAACAAAATTATTTTAGCCCATTCCCTCCTCTCAACCCCTGCTGAAATTTCAACTTAATTTTATACCAATTATCTGACCACTTCATACAATAAGTAGGGTTGAATCATAAAGGTAATTAACAGTTATCTATATTTTGTTTTATACATGCAGATAAAACCAAAATGCTCATTTCACTCACTTCCTTACATCCAGAGCTATTATCTCTCAGATTGCCATGTCAGTACAAAAACCCGCACAGGCGGTGGGGCCCAGTTTAATACTGGCTGGAGGGCTTTCTCCTCCACTCCACCCTATTGTGACTCCTAATTTCCAGGGAGATTTTTCTCTGTCTTTCCTAAGAAGTCATCCCAGTGTTGCTCAGTTGCAAATATTTATCTTTCCACGGGCCCAAAGTTAAAAAAAAAAAAGCTGTTTTTTCCCCTACTCAAGGAGAGACAGGTAGAGGCTGATTTTTATTGAAAGATAAACTGAGCACCACAATGGCTGAGCCAGGAAGGATCTGTGGTGTCCTGAAAGAGTTGCTGTGCTTCTCTGAGGCCAGACATGCCCCTCAGGCTGCAATGTGAGGAAGGGGAAGTAGGAAGGAAAGAAAGAGATCACAGTTGCCAAAGAAGCAGAGAATTTCATCTGACTGGAAGCAAAACAACCTAGTAACTCAGAGTCTGGCTTTGCTATCAGACACAGCAGGCATGGAGCACTGCTTCCAACCCTTTTCTCACTGAGTGACCTTGGACAAGCATCAGAATTGGTCTGAACCTCAACTTGCTCATCTGTAAAATGGAGTTAGAAATACTTAATCATAGGATTGTTGCAGAAATAAATGGGGAAAAAATCATGTCAAACCCTTAGCATGGTCCCTAGTACATAGTAAAGCTTTATAAACACTTTCTAGATATGTTTTACTATTGGTCTGAGTTTTGCCAAATTTATTTATTTGAAACAATACCTATTTCCCTTGTCTGTATTTGCAGGTTTTTTCTATTTCTTCAGTGGATCTTCACAGTTGGAGTTTGACCCAAATGCAAAGAAAGTGACACATGTCTTGAAGACTAACAGCTGGTTTAATTGTTAGAAGAGATGCTTGCTTACATGGCAAAACCTGGGCATTTTAAATGAAGCTGATAATTCTTCACCTAAGGCTTCTGGAATTGAAATGGTTCATTTTCTCCTGCATATGCATGACTGAGAACACACGTGTGCCCTGTATGTCTTGCCAGTCAGCTGCACATTTTATAGGTATTTAAATGCACTGCTGAGCTTGCCCTTTGGTCATATGGTGTGCCCTTCCACAAGAGAAGGGGGAAGTCCTCATGTGCAACAGACAAGTGACTGTACATAGATGATTTATTTCTTATTTAATAAAGAGGATTTGCCAGTTATTTTTTGTTTGCTTCTTTCAAGAACAAGTTGTTCTTACAATCTCAGGCACATTGTGGACCGAGCAAAAGATAATTTGAGATCCTCAGCCAGTGGTGTTAGGATTAGGGTCTCCATGGCTGGGGCCTCACAATTATCTCATCTAGAATCAAACACAATCTACCAGCCAAATTTATTTATTTGAAACAATACCTATTTCCCTTGTCTGTATTTGCAGGTTTTTTCTATTTCTTCAGTGGATCTTCACAGTTGGAGTTTGATCCAAATGCAAAGAAAGTGACACATGTCTTGAAGAGTAACAGCTGGTTTAATTGTTAGAAGAGATGCTTGCTTACATGGCAAAACCTGGGCATTTTAAATGAAGCTGATAATTCTTCACCTAAGACTTCTGGAATTGAAATGGTTCATTTTCTCCTGCATATGCATGACTGAGAACACACGTGTGCCCTATATGTCTTGCCAGTTAGCTGCACGTTTCATAGGTATTTAAACGCGCTACTGAGCTTGCCCTTTGGTCACATGGAGTAACTTTCTACAGGAGAAGGGGGAAGTCCTCAGGTGCAATAGACAAGTGACTGTACATAGATGATTTGTTTCTTATTTAATAAAGAGGAGTTACCAGTTATTTTTTGTTTGCTTCTTTCAAGAACAAGTTGTTCTCACAATCTCAGGCACATTGTGGACCAAGCAAAAGACAATTTGAAATCCTCAGCCAGTGGTGTTAGGATTAGGGTCTCCATGGCTGGGGCCTCACAATTATCTCATCTAGAATCAAACACAATCTACCACTTGCCCTTCCCAGGTGCTCAACAAACAGAATTCTTAATTCTACCACCCAGACACTATATGTGTTTGTGACCCACCCTGGGAGAAAGGAAAGTTGTCACCATGTAGGGCAGGCTCTGGAAAAATAGTGAAGCAGAATTATAGCAAATCATCTGAGGAAATCAAACCTGTTCCTCATCTTTTCCTTTTACTTATGTATTCCCTCAGTGGAGCCCCTTGGCCTGCCCCAGCAAACAAATTTGATCATATCCACCTATTCACACATGGAAATATCCTCTTGTACTCATTTCCTATCTGTCCATGCTACAAGTCCATGGGCAAATGCTATCCTAAAACAGATTTATTGTCCCTAAGTAACGTGTCTACCACAATATCTGCTACACAGAAAGAGTTTATCACACTTTAACTTACTCATTCACTTGAGAATAATTTATTAATCATATTCCATGTGCCAGGCATTTTCTGGGTTGTAGGCATAAGAGCCTGAGAAAATGGACACTCTCGCGCCCTCACTGAGATTATAATCCAGCAAGAAAGAATGCACATATGCAGACAACAACAAACATATACATGTCATTGTAAATTTAAGAAGACCTACAGGAAAAAATAGAGTGGTTTGACAGAACAACAGGAGGATCTATTTTGAATTAAGTGATTTTAGAAGACCATTTGAGAGAATGGCATTGGAGAGAGGGGAGGCGTGGAAATTAGGTGAGGAGATGATTGCTTGGACTAAAGGAGTTACACTGGAGAGACAAGAATAGAATATACATATTATGTATTATATATAATACACACATATTTATGATAGACAACAGGGCTCTATGATATGGAATTAGTGGCTAGAATAATTCCTAGATAGTGTCTTTGAGCTTAAGGACAAATGTCACAAATGGTGAGAGTATTTACTGAGATGGGGGAGGCCTGAGAAGAAGCAGTTTTGTGAGGAAATGGTAAATTAGGAAGAATTGCTTAGTTTTGCCAATTTTTGAAATATCTGTGAGCTATCCACATAGGTCATGAGGTAAATGAGTCAGTAACTCAGAAGATAGAGCAGCTAAGTGGCAATGGATGTTAACTAAACTATTGTGGTACTCATTTTGCAATATGCACATATATCAAATTATCAGGTTCTACAGCTAAAATTAATACAATTTTGTATGTCAATTATATCTCAATTTTTAAAAAAGAGAAAAGATGTAAATATGTGGAATTTTTCAGCATTTAGATTATTCTTAAAACCATTAATATGAGAGAGACCATAGAGGAAATGTTAAGATGAAACTGTAACAAATAGCAATATTTTGCCAGGAATTTCTTTATTTTGAAAATTACCTGAATTTATTTGGCTTACTTTTTTAGATAAGTTACTCTATAGCTATAATACAAATTCAAAAGGTTAAAAAAAAATGCAATGAAAATTTTCCTCTCCCATTATCACCATCTAGTTCCTTTTCTCAGAATCAACCAAATAGATTCTTATAGATACTTTTAGAGCTATTTTATATATATACAAATATTAATATCATTTTTTAATGTAAAACAGTACCATGCAAATTTACATTGCTCTGTTCTTTGCTGTCTCCACTTAATATATCTTGGCAACTATTCTACATTAATACACATAGAATTGCTTCAGTTTTTTACTGGCTGAATTTTATGAAATAAATGTGTAATATGTTCTATTGGGGACTAAATTAATGATTAAGTGAATACATAATCAAAGAAATAATATTTTAAAATAAAAATGATTAAAATAAATATAAATGCTATATAAAGAAAACAGTAATTTAATAATCTATGAAATATGCATTTGAAAAATATACAACATATTTGAAATAAAAATAGTAAAAAATAAATTGAATAAAATCATGTGCATCAGATTAATTTCAATATCCAGTATATCAGTAGTTTATTTTCAACATTTTGTTATTTTTCCCAGTGCTATAATGAACGTGTTTGAGCATACTTGCAGATCTGATGAAAATTTTAAACTTCAAAGGCTGAGCAGAAGCCGGGGAGCAGGGTGCCTTGTCTATTGGGGTCTCCATCATGTGAGCCATTGGATGTTCTTTACAACAGCAGGAATGGTGGGGTTAAGCTCTCACTGAAGTAGGTAGAAATATTGGTAAGTTAGGATGCATTTGATCACAGGTAATAATAAATGCCAACTTGTTTTAAAATAAAAGAGTTTGTCAAAAAGACAAAAGATAACTGTTGGTAAGGATGTAGAGGAAAAGGAACCCTCATACCCATCTGTCTCCTTTGCTGCTTTAACCTTTGGGCCAAAAAAGGGAAAAAAAAGGCAAAGGCCTTCTACTCAGCCCTGCATCTTTGCATGTAGACTTGTTGATCATCAAAAGGAATTTTGCTTACAGTGTGAGATTTCTGCAAATAGCTCCTCACTGGAAGCTTGCCTCCCATGAGGAGACAGAGAAATGCATATGAACATAATGCTTGCCCCATCAGAATCAGAGGAGCATGGTGACCAGGCCCAGGTTGACAAGTGCCAACTAACCGAGGACATGGAGTGTCTCAGCTCTCCTCGGACCCTCGCTGGTGCCCAGATGCCTGCAGCCTCAGTCACCCCCTAACCTGCTCCTCCTTCTGCTCCCCTTTCCCTAGTGTAAAAGAAGCTTGCAGTCAACCCTGAGGTAACACAGTGCTTTAGGACATCAGTCCACCATCTTCTCACTCTGCTGAATTTCCAGATAAAAGTCACTTTCCTTGCCCCAACACCTCGGGGTAAGTCCTTCGATTTACTGGCATGTCGTGCAGTGCATGGCACAAGCTTGGACTCAGAAACATTACCATGTGATCCAGCAATTCCACTTCTGGGCATTCATCCAAAGGAATGAAATCAGTATCTTGAAGAGATCTCTGCGCTGCCATGTTCATTGCAGCATTATGCACGATAGCCAAGACACAGAAGCAACCTAAGAGTCCACCAACAGGCATACATTAAGAAAATGCAGTGTAATACATGGAAATCCCCTCATTTGCAACAACATGGATGAACACTGAGGTTATTATGGTAAGTGAAATCAACCAGACACAGGAAGTCAAATAGGGCATGATCTCACATGTAAAATGTTTAAAAGTCAAACTCATAAAACGGAGAGTTGGATGGTGGTGGCCACAGGCTTTTGGGGGTGTATTGCACACTTGAAAGTTGCTGAGGGCAGATGTTAAATGTTCTCAGCAAACACACACACACACACACAAAGGTAACTATGTGAAGTGGCAGATTGTTAATTAGTTTGATTCTAGTAATCATTCCAAAATGTATATGTCTACCAAGACATCATGTTGTACATATTGAATATATACAATTTTTATTTGTCAATTATGCCTCAATAAAGCTGGAAAAAATGTTTTTAAAAAGTAAACAATAAGGGGCAGAGCCAAGATGGCAACTTGAGTAGAATAGTGGAAATCTCCTCCCAAAACCACATATATTTTTGAAAATACAACAAATACAACTATCCATAAAAGAGAGACCAGAAGACATAGGACAACAGCCAGACTACATCCACACCTGCAAGAACCCAGCACCTCGTGAAGCGGGTAAGATACAAGCCGTGGCCTGGCAGGACCCGAGTGCCCCTCCCCCCAGCTCCCAGCAGGAGGAGAGGAGTCGGAGCAGGGAGGGAGAGGGAGCCCAGGACTTCTAAACACCCAGCCCTAGCCATACGCACCAGAGCGCAGACACGCAGTGCATGATGTGCTGGAAACTAAGGAAACAGGACAGTAAGACCTGTGAGCAGGTTCCCGCAGCTGGCGCCCCTGGGACAAAGAAAAGCAAGTGCTTTTTGAAAGTCTTAAAGGGACAGGGACCCCACAGCTGGACAGAAGCGACCTGGGACACTTAGCCCAGCAGCTGGGATTCCCAGGGAACACCAGGCGCCCTAGCCCCCTGGGCGGCAGCACAGCTTGGAGGCACCTCATGGCGATAAACAACCTCCCGCCTGTCTCCCCTCCTATGTGGCTCTGCCATATTGGAGCAGCAGACTAAGGCCGGGCATGCCTACAGCAACCGCAGAGCTTAATTTCACAGCGGCCAGGCAAGAATCAGAGGCCCTGCTTGCATGCAGCTGCACAGCAAAAGCCGCTAGAGGGCGCTGTTCTCCCAGGAGAAGAAGGCCACAAACCAGCAAGAAGGGACGTTCTCCCAGCTGACACACACTCCAGCCCCACACAACTACCTCTATCGCATGAAAAGGCAGAAGAATTTGATACAGTTCAAAATCACAGAGTCAACCCCTGAGAAGGAGATACACCTAACCAATCTTCCTGAAAAAGAATTCAAAATAAAGGTCATAACCATGCTGATGGACCTGCAGAGAAATATGCAAGAGCTAAAGGATCAAGTTAGGAGGGAGAATACAGAAATAAAACAATCTCTGGAAGAAATTAAGAGCAGATGGGATGAGGTGCAAGAGGCCGTTAATGGAATAGAAACCAGAGAACAGGAACACAGACAAGCTGACGCAGAGACAGATAAAAGGATCTCCAGGAATGAAAGAATATTAAGAGAACTGTGTGACCAATCCAAATGGAACAATATTCGCATTATACGAGTACCAGAAGAAGAAGAGAGAAAAAAAGGAATAGAAAGTGTCTTTGAAGAAATAATTGCTGAAAACTTCTCCAAACTGGGGAAGGAAATAGTCTCTCACACCATGGAAACCCACAGATCTCCCAACACAAGGGACCCAAGGAGGACAACACCAAGACATATAATAATTGAAATGGCAAAGATAAAAGGCAAGGACAGAGTATTAAAGGCAGCCAGAGAGAGGAAAAAGGTCACCTATAAAGGAAAACCCATCAGGCTATCATCAGACTTCTCAACATAAACCTTACAGGCCAGAAGAGAATGACATGATATATTTAATGCAATGATATAGAAGGGCCTTCAACCAAGAATACTGTATCCAGCATGATTATCATTTCAATATGAAGGAGGGATTAAACAATTCCCAGACAAGCAAAAGTTGAGGTAATATGCCTACCACAAACCACCTCTACAGGGTATTTTAGAGGGACTGCTCTAGATGGGAGCACTCCTAAGACTAAATAGATGTCCCCAGAGAAAATAAAATCACAGCAAAGAAAGCAGACCAACCAAATACTAACTAAAGGCAAAAAATAAAACCAACTACCCACAAAAGCAGTTAAAGAAAACACAAAAGAGTACAGAACAAACCAACCAACGTATAAAGAATGGAGGAGGAGAAATAAGAAGGGAGAGAAATGAAGAATCATGACAGTGTCTATAATAGCTCAATAAGCCAGTTTAGGTAGGCAGTAAGATACTAAAGAAGCTAACCTTGATCCTTTAGGAGCTACTAATCTAAAGCCTGAAATGGCAATAAGTACATATCTTTCAATAATCACCCTAAATGTAAATGGACTGAATGCACCAATAAAAAGACACAGAGTAATACAATGGATAAAAAAGCAAGACCCATCTATATGCTGCTTACAAGAAACTCACCTCAAACCCAAAGATAAGCATAGACTAAAAGTCAAGGGATGGAAAAACATATTTCAGGCAAACAACAGTGAGAAGAAAGCAGGGGTTGCAGTACTAATATCAGACAAAATAGACTTCAAAACAAAGAAAGTAACAAGAGATAAAGAAGGCCACTACATAATGATAAAGGGCTCAGTCCAACAAGAGGATATAACCATTCTAAATATATATGCACCCAATACAGGAGCACCAGCATATGTGAAGCAAATACTAACAGAACTAAAGAGGGAAATAGACTGCAATGCATTCATTGTAGGAGACTTCAACACACCACTCACCCCAAAGGATAGATCCACCGGGCAGAAAATAAGTAAAGACACACAGGCACTGAACAACACACTAGAACAGATGGACCTAATAGACATCTATAGAACTTTACATCCAAAAGCAACAGGATATACATTCTTCTCAAGTGCACATGGAACATTCTCCAGAATAGACCACATACTAGCTCACAAAAAGAGCCTCAGTAAATTCCACAATATTGAAATTCTACCAACCAATTTTTCAGACCACAAAGGTATGAAAGTAGAAATAAATTCTACAAAGAAAACAAAAAGGCTCACAAACACATGGAGGCTTAACAACATGCTACTAAATAATCAATGGATCAATGAACAAATCAAAATAGAGATCAAGGAATATATAGAAACAAATGACAACAACAACACTAAGCCCCAACTTCTGTGGGATGCAGCGAAAGCAGTCTTAAGAGGAAAGTATATAGCAATCCAGGCACACTTGAAGAAGGAAGAACAATCCCAAATGAATAGTCTAACATCACAATTATTAAAACTGGAAAAAGAAGAACAAATGAGGCCTAAAGTCAGCAGAAGGAGGGACATAATAAAGATCAGAGAAGAAATAAACAAAATTGAGAAGAATAAAACAATAGCAAAAATCAACGAAACCAAGAGCTGGTTCTTTGAGAAAATAAACAAAATAGATAAGCCTCTAGCCCAACTTATTAAGAGAAAAAGAGAGTCAACACAAATCAACATAATCAGAAATGAGAATGGAAAAATCACGACAGACTCCACAGAAATACAAAGAATTATTAAAGACTACTATGAAAACCTATATGCCAACAAGCTGGAAAACCTAGAAGAAATGGACAACTTCCTAGAAAAATACAACCTCCCAAGACTGACCAAGGAAGAAACACAAAAGTTAAACAAACCAATTACAAGCAAAGAAATTGAAACAGTAATCAAAAAACTACCCAAGAACAAAACCCCGGGGCCGGACGGATTTACCTCGGAATTTTATCAGACACACAGAGAAGACATAATACCCATTCTCCTTAAAGTGTTCCACAAAATAGAAGAAGAGGGAATACTCCCAAACTCATTCTATGAAGCCAACATCACCCTAATACCAAAACCAGGCAAAGACCCCACCAAAAAAGAAAATTACAGACCAATATCCCTGATGAATGTAGATGCAAAAATACTCAATAAAATATTAGCAAACAGAATTCAACAGTATATCAAAAGGATCATACACCATGACCAAGTGGGGTTCATCCCAGGGATGCAAGGATGGTACAACATTCGAAAATCCATCAACATCATCCACCACATCAACAAAAAGAAAGACAAAAACCACATGATCATCTCCATAGATGCTGAAAAAGCATTTGACAAAATTCAACATCCATTCATGATAAAAACTCTCAGCAAAATGGGAATAGAGGGCAAGTACCTCAACATAATAAAGGCCATATATGATAAACCCACAGCCAGCATTATACTGAACAGCGAGAAGCTGAAAGCATTTCCACTGAGATCGGGAACCAGACAGGGATGCCCACTCTCCCCACTGTTATTTAACATAGTACTGGAGGTCCTAGCCACGGCAATCAGACAAAACAAAGAAATACAAGGAATCCAGATTGGTAAAGAAGAAGTTAAACTGTCACTATTTGCAGATGATATGATACTGTACATAAAAAACCCTAAAGACTCCACTCCAAAACTACTAGAACTGATATCGGAATACAGCAAAGTTGCAGGATACAAAATTAACACACAGAAATCTGTAGCTTTCCTATACACTAACAACGAATCAATAGAAAGAGAAATCAGGAAAACAATTCCATTCACCATTGCATCAAAAAGAATAAAATACCTAGGAATAAACCTAACCAAAGAAGTGAAAGACTTATACTCTGAAAACTACAAGTCACTCTTAAGAGAAATTAAAGGGGACACTAATAAATGGAAACTCATCCCATGCTCATGGCTAGGAAGAATTAATATCGTCAAAATGGCCATCCTGCCCAAAGCAATATACAGATTTGATGCAATCCCTCTCAAATTACCAGCAACATTCTTCAATGAATTGGAACAAATAATTCAAAAATTCATATGGAAACACCAAAGACCCCGAATAGCCAAAGCAATCCTGAAAAAGAAGAATAAAGTAGGGGGGATCTCACTCCCCAACTTCAAGCTCTACTACAAAGCCATAGTAATCAAGACAATTTGGTACTGGCACAAGAACAGAGCCACAGACCAGTGGAACAGATTAGAGACCCCAGAAATTAACCCAAACATATATGGTCAATTAATATTTGATAAAGGAGCCATGGACATACAATGGCAAAATGACAGTCTCTTCAACAGATGGTGCTGGCAAAACTGGACAGCTACATGTAGGAGAATGAAACTGGACCATTGTCTAACCCCATATACAAAGGTAAACTCAAAATGGATCAAAGACCTGAATGTAAGTCATGAAACCATTAAACTCTTGGAAAAAAACATAGGCAAAAACCTCTTAGACATAAACATGAGTGATCTCTTCTTGAACATATCTCCCCGGGCAAGGAAAACAACAGCAAAAATGAGCAAGTGGGACTACATTAAGCTGAAAAGCTTCTGTACAGCGAAAGACACCATCAATAGAACAAAAAGGAACCCTACAGTATGGGAGAATATATTTGAAAATGACAGATCTGATAAAGGCTTGACGTCCAGAATATATAAAGAGCTCACACGCCTCAACAAACAAAAAACAAATAACCCAATTAAAAAATGGGCAGAGGAACTGAACAGACAGTTCTCCAAAAAAGAAATACAGATGGCCAAGAGACACATGAAAAGATGCTCCACATCGCTAATTATCAGAGAAATGCAAATTAAAACTACAATGAGGTATCACCTCACACCAGTAAGGATAGCTGCCATCCAAAAGACAAACAACAACAAATGTTGGCGAGGTTGTGGAGAAAGGGGAACCCTCCTACACTGCTGGTGGGAATGTAAATTAGTTCAACCATTGTGGAAAGCAGTATGGAGGTTCCTCAAAAAACTCAAAATAGAAATACCATTTGACCCAGGAATTCCACTTCTAGGAATTTACCCTAAGAATGCAGCAGCCCAGTTTGAAAAAGACAGATGCACCCCTATGTTTATCGCAGCACTATTTACAATAGCCAAGAAATGGAAGCAACCTAAGTGTTCATCAACAGATGAATGGATAAAGAAGATGTGGTACATATACACAATGGAATATTATTCAGCCATAAGAAGAAAACAAATCCTACCATTTGCAACAACATGGATGGAGCTAGAGGGTATTATGCTCAGTGAAATAAGCCAAGCAGAGAAAGACAAGTAACAAATGATTTCACTCATATGTGGAGTATAAGGACAAAAAAAAACTGAAGGAACAAAACAGCAGCAGAATCACAGAACCTAAGAAGGGACTAACAGTTACCAAAGGGAAAGGGATTGGGGAGGATGGGAGGGAAGGGCAGTGAAAAAGAAAGGGGGCATTACAATTAGCATGTATTGTGTGGGGAGCATGGGGAGGGCTGTGCAACAAAGAGAAGACAAGTAGTGATTCTACATCTTACTATGCTGATGGACAGTGACTATAATGGGGTTTGTGCCGGGGACTTGGTGAAGGGGGGACCTTAGTAAACATAAAGTTCTTCATGTAATTGTAGATTAATGATAACAAAATTTAAAAAAATAAACAATAAAAATAAGGGCGTTATTGATGCACATTACTTAGAAGTATCACAGGCAGGCAGGCCTCAGTTTCCGTGCGATCACAGTTCGGCTCCTGCACTCTGCTCATGTCTTGCCTCTGTCCTCTGGGCCAGTCTCACCTTTAGGCTGGCTTTCCTCATGGTAGCATGACACCTGCAGCAGTTCCAAGCATCACACTTACATACAGCACCACCCCAACCATCACTCTGCCCTTCCGAGCCTCCCCCCGTTTGGATCATCTCTGATCGTGTGGCCATCCCAGAACAGGCCCTGTGGCCAGGAGGATGGGTCCGTATCACCACAGCCAGGCTGCTCTTCCACAGCAGGGCACAGGAAATGAGGCTGAGGCAGCACTCTGCCCATCCACCACAAAGAGAAGGTGGGAGGTAAAACAGTAGAAATAATAGGAATAGGTACAGATAATTCTCAGTGAAGTTGGGCTGGGAAGGAAGTAAAGCATTTTTTTTTTGTACTGGAAGACCTGATTCATAGTTTTTATGCATGTCTTTGCTCATTTGGGAAAAGAAGCTTAACAAGTTTTTATTTATTGAATACTAGTTTTTTGCCTAATCCTCATAATGATTTGGTGGCTTACTGGAGAAATACTAACTTTGCAATAGTCATGTAGCAAACAGCACAGTCAGGATTTCATTTCATACCTTCCTAGTTTCAGATCATGTTCTTATTCTAGGGTAAGAGATAATAAATCAGCCTGGATGGCCTTATTAGTTTTGACTCTGTTCTGAAGTAGACATTCTGCTATGTCATATTGCACCACTGCAAAGGGAGGGGGCTGATCTTCCTTAACCCTGAAATTTAAAATCTCCACAGCCCAAGAGCTAGGGTTTTTCTATTTGCATCTGACATCTGGCCTCTCTAAATTCCCCTGTGCTTTTCCAAATTATAATGGGTGATGAGGAATCTCACACCTGCTACTGTTTCCCTCTGTAAATTTCCCTGAGCAATCTCATTCCAGGACTGGAGTGTGTTTGTGTACTGTCAAAACATTCACCCATTTCTTCACACCAACCAGAGGCTAAGCCGGAGACCAGACCTGTAGCCCATGTCAGTGCTACTCCAGCCCTAATGGTGATGTGATGCTGAATCCCAGAATGATGTTCAAGAACAGTTCAGTTCCTCTTTCCTTGGAAGTGTGGAGTATGTTTGTCTTTACAGGGAGTGATCCAGGACACAAGACTGGGTGGGGGCAGGGGGAGAAGGAAAGCAGAACCTGGGGATCAGACTGCAACTTGGCAATAAACCAATAGAATGGTGGATTTAACTCAGATGAGGAATAAAAAATAAAGAAGTCATTGAACAGATGCATTATAATCCTGCAAGTATTTAAGAAGTCCATCTTCCAAAATCAAGCAACATAGAGATTTGTGATCCCATTGGAAAGAGAAACAGTAGGAAAAGCATCTGAATCTACTCTAATCCATTAGGAAGAATTTGTAAAACAATTTTCTATACAATTGAAGAAGTTGGCATTGATTAATTATGAAAAAGTGTTCAGCTTGCTAACCTGGGATTTGAGTAGAATCATTCAGTCTGCTGCCTCCCTAGTCTTAGTGTTGACATGATTGATCTATAAGTGCCATAAACAGTAAAAGAGAGCAAAGAAAAGACTGGCAGAGGTAACGGAACAAGATACGGGAAAGAGGAGGAAGGGGTTGGCTCTTTGCAGTGAGTTTAATCAAAAGGTGCAAACTGGAGTGACCTAAGAATGGATGTAACTCGAAATTCATAACTCAAAAGTTCCTTTAGTTGCTGCTTTATATTATTTTTCCATTTAGATTATGAATGTTAAGTCATGTAATAAAATAGTTCATGTGCATCTGAGTGCATACGAATATGGTCTATATTAATAAATAATGTAGCCATTTCACAATTCAAGAATATCTGATGACTTGTCCATTAAGTCATCATTAAGAAATAACTGCAAAACTAAAATAAAATAAACAAAGAAATAACTGCAAAATCTGATACCACCGGGAGGGACATGGGTGACCCATGGAAGAACACTGTGGAGGCCTCCACACTCCTGGAACAACATGTGATGTGTGAGGCCACAGGGAGATCTTAAAAGGCACAGAAGTGTTTTATAGGTGTCACAGAATACCAAATCAATATCCCTGACAAGTCCTACATCTGAAAATGACAATTTAAATTAAAATTTTCTGTACTTAACCTTGTTTTGGATGTCTTTTCCCACAAGACCTCACAGGTTACCATTTGACTCCAAGGCAGATGAAAAAGTCTTTTTCTCAGTGCTCTCAACCTACATCAGACTTGTGATTAATCAGATTCAGTTTACCTCCTGAGTGATTGATAAACTTATGACAAGAGTTATAACCACAAGACTACAGCTTGCAGAAATTCAAGTCAAAATTCCACTCTGCTAAGAG